CCCAGGGACTCACTTGTTGGTTGGTTTTCTGTTTTTGAGTTAAGATCTTACCCAGGATGAACTTGCATTTGACATCTTCCTGGCTCTAACTCCCAAGTAGCCGTGTTTCCAAGTGTTCTACCATGTCTAGCTCAAAAATATTACTCAAAAACAAAAGACTGTGACCATCAAATTTCTTAGGTCACAATCTTCATGTCTTTTTCTTTTCCTTTTTTATTTTAGTGCTGGGAATCACAACCAGGGCATCTGCCTTCTAGACAAGCATTCTACCACTGAGCCCTTTCCTTTGGCTCTTAGAGAAAGAGTCTTACTATGTAGTCCAGGCTCCTCAAATAACTCATGATCTTTCTGCCTCAGTCTCCTGAATGCTTATATTACAGGTGTACAACTCCACACTCAGCCACAATCTTCAAGTTTTTAACAACATATAACTAAAGTGAGGCTCTGTGAAAGAAAATTTTCCCAAAAGAAACTCAGAAAATGAGTACCTATTTCTTTTAAAGGCAGATTGGAGTATGAGGCAAATGGACCTTGTGAAAGTCTTCCCTGAGGGAGAAAGACTGTAAGAATCAAACTGACATTAAATTCTGAAGCTGAAGACAGGAGAAGAGATCAAGACAGTGACTAGATCTGAGATGGGAGTAAATAGAGAGACAGCAGTAAGTTTCCTCCTAGACCACAAGATTTTGGGCAAGGCTGTGAACATGTGTGTGGTAGTAAACTAGTTTTTTTAATCTTAAATTCCAAGATTGCAGATCTAACAATCTTTATACTGCCCTACCATCTCTTACTATACAAGTTACAGTACGCATAAAGCACAGCAATAAACAATTCTACTAAGCACTAACACTGAAACTTAGGTAACATATGGATATTTAAGTCCAAAGTAGAAGAATATAGAGAAACAGAAAGTAGTTTAGTGGGAGAAAAGCCAAGTGAGAAAAAGAGGTAGCAATGAAACTAACTGCTTATGTGCGTGAGATTCATTTTCGGGTGATAAAAATGTCCTAAAATCAGTTTGCGACGATGGTTTCACAACTCTGTAGATACACAAAAAACAATGGAATTTTACAATTAAATAGTGCATTCCCATGGCATGGAATTCCACAAGCAAAAAAGGATTATCTGTGGCAGATCTTTTCAATGATATATCTACAACCACCAAAATATCAAAACCTATAAAGCTCATTACTTACAAGAAAACAAAATATGTGCATTTGCCAGAGTACAACTTGCAAGACATTACAAGTGATACCAACTCATAACCCAGAAATTGGGTGAACATCAGATCCTAGAAAGATTTCATTCAGAGTTCAAATGACTGGCAAACACAAAGTATGGACATGCATTCTTTCACCTTTGGGGAAAAACCATGATAACTACATTCAAAAGTTATTATGCTAAAGTCAGCTCTTTTCAATACAGAGCCAAGTTGGGTCACACGGGAAGCACACTCTGGTCCATGATATCATTAACGCTGCTTTTATTGTTTACTTTAAAACTTATCTGTTCTAGTTATTAAAATAAGTAACAGGTATTATATTTAAATGGTGATAACATGCTAGAATTTTCTTCATTCTCATCCTCCCTCCATTCTCCCCTTCCTTTCTTACCTCTTTCTTTCCTTCCTTTCTTTTTTAGATAAGATCTCACTTTCAGTTCAGGCTGGCCTGTAAATTGTGATCATTCTGCCTCAGCTACCTGAATGCTGGAATTACAGGTATCTGCCACCATGCTTGCCAATGTTAGAATTACACAAATTTTTTTTGTAAACTTTTTGGTTAGTTTACCATTTTTTGGTGATAAAAATTTCAACCAAACAGACAGACATCACTATCTTCATATGCATTTTATAGCCTGTTTTAAAGTTCAGAAAAAAAAAAGGCCTGGAGGGGTAGCAAAGCAGTAGAGTACCTGCTCTACAAGTGTGAAGCTCTGAGTTCAAACCTCAGTTCCACCTGAAAAAAATACAGAAATACGTGAAGTCCAAAAAGTATTTATTTATTTTTTTGTTGACCTGGGATTTGAACTAATGGCCTCATGCTTGCTAGGCAGGGTCTTTACCAATTGATCCATGCTCCCAGACCAAATTTTATTCTTTTTTTTAAAAAGAAAAAGTTTAGAGAAATAGATTAATATTCACAATACCATTTCTTTGGTAATTAGGTAACACAACTACTGTCAATAAATAAAACAAATAAAAACATTTGAAATCATCAAAGTTACCTATTTATCATCTATCTATCCTAACCCAGCACCTTAAGCATGCTAAGCACACCAAGGCAGTGAATAAACAAACTGGGTACAGCAGAAACCTACATAGGAATAAAAAGAATTATACATCTAATAGAAACAGCATATGGATGAATCTCAAATACACTATGCTAAGTAAAGATAGCCAGACTCAAAAGTCTACACACTACAGGTTGAGCGACAACACCTCTACTATACAAAATCTGACAACTTTCAAGCAACAATACAATGCCATAAGAGGAAACTCCCACACCTTCCACGTAAGAAGTAGGGTGGCAATCAAAATGAATGAATGCACACTAAAATATCATATAAAATAATCTCTTGGTGATGTCTGTAAAGTGTATGGAAACACAAGTAAATTGTGTGGTAAAATCTGATCTTATTCCTAAGATATCTCATTTTGTACATGCAAATATTCAAAAATTTGAAGATATCTAAAATTGGAAATACTTCTAGCACTCAGCTTTTTTGTGTTGTTTTTGTTTTTGTCAAATAAATAATGTGTCTAAAGACAGAACTCTGTGTGTACCACTTTGTTTTATGCCACTACTTTTTTTGTGTGTTTTTTTTAGCTTAAACAACAAAAATTTATTTTCTCACAGTTCTGAAGGCTGACATTGCAAGATCAGGGTGCTGGCAGATTTGACTATACTTTTATTGTGTCCTCATGTAGCCTTTCCTCTGGGTGAGTAAAGAGAGAGATCTGTGGTTTCTATGCCCTCCTTATAAGAATAGCAGTTCTACTGAATTAGAGCCCCATTCTTATGACATCATTTACCCTTAATTATCTCTCTAAAGGCCCTATCTCTAAATAAAGTCACATTAAGGAATAAAATTCAATATATAATACTGAAATGATAAATAAAGTCACACTGAGGAGTAAAATTCAATATATAATATTGAAAGGATATAATTCAACCCATAATGGTCTCTCATTTATTCATGTCTTACAAGAAGAATCACTAACTGCCTTTGCTCTGGTATGTTCTTTCAATGGCGTTTTTATATTAAATTACATTAGTATATAGATATATTTTTTCAAAGTAACATAACCGCAACCCAGGAAAAGTTCAAGAATAACCAATGCAAACACCGTCAGGTAATGTTTGCAATTTCTGGCATTCAATTAAAATCAATGGAAACAGATACAGAAATCAAACAAATGTTTGAGTTAGTAGATGAGAATTTTAAAACACTTATCATAACTCTATTCCATATGTTCAAGAAGACAGGAAAAACTAAGTAGCTTACTAGGCAGGCACTCAACCCCTTGAGCCACTCAACCAGCCCTGTTCTTTCCTTTCTCTGGTGCTAGGGTTCAAGTCTAGGGTGACGTATATGCTGAGCTACATCCCAGTCCTTGTTTTTATTTTATATTTCAGATAGGGTCTCACTAACTTTGCCTCTGCTGGGCTCAAACAACATACTCCTCTCTTTACCTCCTGAACACCTGGGTTACAAGTAAGCAGTGCCACCACCTCTAGCTCAGAAATCAAATTTACTTTTATGTTTACAATTCATAAACAAGATGAATTTTCCTAACACTAAGCATTTTATTTAAATGTCCTTATTACACACTATTCATAGATTTGGAGCGGCTATAACAATTGAGTAGACAACACACCACCACTCATGATTTTTTTTTTTAATGTTTTGTTTTTGAGACAGGGTATGGCTATATGACCAAAGTTGACCTCCAATTTCCAATCCTCCTGCCTCAGAGCCCAACTTATGGGATTACAGGCCTGACTACCACACCTGGCTAAGGAGATAAAAGAGGGTTCCAGTGTGAGAGTAGTAAATTTCTTAATTAAATAAAGTAAATTCAGGCCTCAGAGAATGCCTTAAGTGGTAGGTGTCTGTCTAACAAATGAGAGGCCCTGAGTTCTAGCCCAAATACCAACAAAAATATTTTAAAGGTATTTAAGAAGTATTTTAAGAATATTTAAAAAGAACATGCCTCACATCACCTTAGGATAAGATACAAACTATAATTAGAAATGAATAAATTCCACCCTTAAAAAGTGCTTTCTGTCTCCAGCATTTCAAAACTTTCTTCAAATTTCCCCTTGGCAAAGTCTTCCCCTGGCTATTATCTTAAATTATCAACCCAAGCACTACTTACATCATTTGTGCACTCTACTTTTGTCCTTAACTATTATATTAAATAATTATTTATCCTGTTTACTATCTGACTTGCTACTAGAATTAAGGTCTCCAAAGAAAAGGATTTTGTTCTTTTTGAGACAGGGTACCCTATGTTGCCCACACTAGTCTAGAACTCCTGGGCTCAATTGATCCTCCTGCCCCAGGCTCCCCAGTTTACTGGCTACAGTCCAGCTCAATAAAGGGATTTTTAAACTGCTTACCATAACAGTCTCTCAACAAATATTTATAACCAGCTGTGGAGGCCCATGCATGTAATGCCAGGACCTGAGCAGTTGAGGCAGGAGGAACATGCCAGTTTGAGGCCAGCCTTGACTATGTAGCAAGATCCTGTCTCAAAAAAATAAAGAGTATCTGTGAATTAGTAAAATGATCTACGGAAATAAAAACACTGTGTCTTTACCAAGAACAGCAACAAAGTTGCTATGACCAAATACTCTTTTGACTTAACATTATTAATCTCTCCTAAGAGAATTTATCATAGGACATAGGAGATGTTCCACACCCACAAACTTTACTATGATAATGTGAATACAGTTAGCACTGCTGCACTATGCAATTACAGGATAGCTCATGTGGTTTTTGCAACTATGAAAGCAAGCAAATGGAAACTTACTTCACCTTCATGGATATAGGAGTGCTGACTAAAAAGAAACCAACTGAGTGTCAGTAAAGCTGTGTTCCACTGATGTCTGTACTATGCACATTTGAGATGACATTGGCAGAGACAGGAAGTTTGTGGAGTGGACAAAGAAGTTTCCATGGAATGTGTGAATGACAAGATCTAGAAGAGAGGAAATTATCAAAATCACTTTTTTATGCCTGTTTCTGAATATTTACATTTCATCTTAGTCAATTTTCAGATAGAAAAACTGTGCAGATAACACAGAATATTTAGTGAGGTTGATGTGGTCAGGTATCTTCTTAAATGAAGGTAAGGATACAAATTTTTTTAAAAAACTTTCTTGGAGGACAATATGACCATACCTAATAACATTTTAAATGGATAGTTATTTGAACTTTAGCAATTTCTTATCTAAGAATTCCTCCTACAAATATACCCATTCACGTGCTACATTTATTTCTGCAAAGACTTTTTAAACAGATCTTTGGTCGCAGCACAAAAGTAAAGATCACCATCACTGCTTATCAGTAAGAAAATAACTACATAGTGATTTATTCATTTGAGTGAATATCAGGTAGAAGTTAAGTAGAATAAGATAGACTTATACAAACTAAAGTGAAAGGATCTTCAAGATTTATTAAGTCTGTTATTTATGCAAACACACCATGCTATGTTTTTTACATGTAGTTGTACCTAAGTATATAAATGTACAGGAAGTGATGCTATTCACCAAAGTGGTTCCAGTAAGTACACAAGGATGTAGTTTCTGTGTGTACATTCAGGTAATCCAGAAGGTATTTAGTTTTAGCGATAATGTGTGTACATGGATATATACATATTTTTAAAGAAAAACAGATACATAAAAACCAACATTAAACCCAAACAGCAGTCAGAAAGAAAAAGAAGAATATACAGAAAAATACATGCCCAATATGTGGTTTTAAAAGAGCATGATTTTGAGAGCCTCAACTTTAGTTCAAATTAAGACTAAAATATATGTTTACCTATCTCTGGGCAAACTTTTGAAGGGAAAATAAATGATACAATTGTACATACTGAGTAATGTTTGGTTTCCTTTCTTTAACATGTTTAGTACTTCCTCATTTTTGTCACCCTGTGGTGCTGGGATTGAACTCCGAGCCTCAAGCTAAACATGCACTTGAACTTTATCATAAAAAATAAAGAGCTAAGCAATTTAACCACACAGTTTTGCTAAGTTTTCCACTCTAGAGGAGGCAAAAGACTAATTTGTTAGCATATGCCCAGGCTCTTTGACTTTACTTTTTGTTTTGGTAATACTAGAATTTGAACTCGGCCTAGCACTTGCAAATCAAGCACTTTGAGCCAGGACCTCAGCCCTGTAAAGTAATATACATAGCCTCTGATCTGCCAAGTAGAAAAATTATTAAGCACTTTTAATATGTACATTTCCCCCTAATTAACAGTCAACAGCTGCAGAAATAAATACTTCTGAAGTCTTCTGATCTTGAATGAATGAACAGCATCCAATAAATGTGGATGCTTGGTGGGGCTTGGTATATAGCTTGGTGGTACAGCACATGCTTAGTGTCTATGAGGCTCTGGGTTCAATATCCAGCACCACCCCTCCAAAAATACAAAAGCTGAAAAATCATTAGAATGAGCAAATGAATTCAGGAAGACTGCATTCTTACAGTTAGGGGTAACAGAGAATGTCATACAGGCAAATAGTTTGACCAATAGATCCATCAGTGGATCCTTACTTATATTTTCTATATGTTCCTATAATTTTTGCTTTAAAAATAATTGCCTAACTCCCCCTTGTGGAGCAAAAATGTTGTATGAATAAAAAATGAGAAGGTTCAAAACATGGAAAAATGAAAAGCGGAGAAATAGAGTGGAAATTAAAGGATGTGCTACTTCTGGAGATGGATATAATGTTGAAAAGGTCACTAAGTCACGCAATTAAAAATGTTTAAGAGGCTAGAGGTGTGGCACAATTGAAGAGCACCTGCCTTACAACCACAAGGTCCTTAGTTCAAATCGCAGTACAACCAAAAAAGGTTAAAGGGTTGGGGTATAGTTCAGTAGTAGGTAGAGTGCTTCCTGGGAATGGCAAGACCCTGAGTTCAAACCCTTACAACCAAAGGGGAAAAAAAGAGGGTTGAGGTATACCTCAGTTGCAGAGTGTTTATCTAGTATGTGTAAGTACTGGGTTCAATTCCCAGCATGGCAGAAAAAAAATTTTTTTAATGTACCTGCGGAGGCAATAGAATCGTGAGTTTTAGGCTAGCCTGGGTGACACAATGAAACCCTACCTCAAAAAAACTCACAAATTAATTAAAAATAGGTTGGAATGGCCAATTGTATATTATGAGTATTTTACCATAACTTGAAAGAATAAATAATTGTTTAATTAAAATGAAAAGAGGACTAGAGGCATGGTTCAGGTAGTATAGCAATTAGTGACCGAGCAAAAGACCCTGAGTTTGAAACCAAGCATGGAGACAAAAACAAAATTAAAAATCAGGTGTGGTGATATACACCTGTAGTCCCAGCTCCACCCTGGGCAACATACCATTACCTGGTATCAAAAAAGAAAAGAAAAAAGATCTACTACTATTGTTCCACAAGGACAATTAGAAAATCCAAAACTAACACAGTTTTACTTTCCTTGGGAACATGGGCTCCTTCGTTAAAAAATTGAGATAAGTTACATATGATAAAATTCACCATTTTAAAGTGTATAATGCCATATTTTTTAATATATTCACTATAAATCAAAGTGTTTCTTCTCACTTCTTAATTGAATATTATGAAGTCAGCAAAGAATCTTAACAGAGTCTTTAAGAGAAGACCAGGTGAAAACATGAATATTTATTGGTATTTTAAAAAAAAAACAGTATTTAAATATTTCCTCCTATGTGGAAAAACAGTGTTTCCAACTTTGGTCACAGAACCCTCTCTACTGCTTCAAAGCCATTCTCTAGAATGAGGTAGTTCCTTCTGTAATTTCTGTACTTGGACTGGTTTGTGCTCATGATGGAAAATGGATAGTAACAGACTACCTGGAAGAGATCACACACTACTTATATACTGTTTTAATTTTTAATTAAAATATCAAATCGATTAAATTTAATTAAAAGTTGGGAATGTTTAAGTTACAAAGTGAGTTAACTCTTCCTTGTTGCAATCTAAGATCTCCAGTAATTTGCCAAGTAGTCAAATTACTATTAAAAAAATAAATAAATAAATAAAAACCAACTACCTCTTCAGGTTGTAAAAACAGAATTAATGGAGAAAAATACTCCTCACTATGGCACAGTGACACCTGCCAAGAGCAGAGACTATAGACTTGCTAGTTAAAATGTTACTCCCACAGCATGTATACATGTATAGGGTACACAATACCCCCTTTCAGACACATTCTGTTTACCTCGCACTGTACTGCCTTCCCAATTTCTAGGCATGTAATAAGAATTTCTTCTGAACTGATCCCAATAACAGTCTATGAATCAGAAAAGGAAAGGTCACTGAGAGCAGCCTGGCTAAAATGCTTCCCGGTAGTAACCAGCAGCATCTCCCAGTAATCCTCCCACCTCCCATGAGGCTGGCAGGACAGGTCTTCAGGTTATTCTTCCTTCCAAAAGAGGCTTATATTCTATTCTTCTACAACAACTTGCTGCAGTAGGCTTAAAAAATGGTCAGCAAAATGCTGCATATCCTAGAAATGTCAAGGAAAGAATGAAAACTTTCCTTACAGTTACTTTAAAAACATGCCTTTGATATTTAAATGAACCATGGCAGATAGGAAAATGTGCCTTATCTCTTTGTTTTCATTTAAATTTACGAATACATTTTCTGGCATAGGTTAAAAGAAAACTGAAAGAATACGGAAATAATTATTTTCAGCAAAATTTCATTGTTAAAGATGTTACAATATGTCTACTCTTCAACAAAATTGGAGAATAGACAGAACAGGTTCTGCCTGGAAGCAAAGGGGTAGGGTAAAAGGGAGGGGAGAGGGGCAGGGGGAGAAATGGCCCCAACAATGTATGCACATATGAATAAATGAATAAAGGAAAAAAAAAAAGATGTTGCAAATACACTGACAATGACACAAGTAAATGTCCCATACTTAAAGAAAAGCTACCTCTCTAGTATTACAGCACTACCTGCAAGGGTCCGAAGAGCCATATATGGAAAGCTGACTCAGGTACATATTGCAACCGTTCTGCTTCATGTCTGCTATTTTATTTTTATTGTTAAATTACAGAAGTTATTTAGGTAATCAAGATATCAGATATGATTTGCAAATATTTTTCTCCCATTTTGTGGGTTGTCTTTTCACTTTATTTTTTGTGGTATTGGGGATTGAATTTAGGGCTTTGCTCATGCCAGACCAGTGCTCTACCACTCAGCAACACTCCCAGCCTGTTTTCTCACTGTTTTGATGATATTTTTTTTGTTTTCTTGAGACAGGGTCTCACTATGTAGCTCAGGCTGGTATTGAATTTGCTATGTTGCTCAGGCTTGGCTCAAGTACTGGGACTTCAGAGGTATGCCACACCTGCCTACTTGATGTGTTCTACAAAGCACAAAACTTTAATTTTGAAAAAGACCAATTTGTATATTTTTTCCTTTTGTTGCCAATACTTTTGATACTGTATCTAAGAATCCAAGATTCACTTCTATGTTTTCTCCTAACACATTTATACTTTTAATCTCACACTTGGCATTATGATCCTCTTTGAGTAACTATAAAAAGAATTTTGCAGTGCTAAGGATTAAACCAATGGCCTCATACAAGATAGGCTAGCACTGAACTTCTGAGCTAAACCCCCAGCCCAAGTTAATTTTTTCATGTGATAAAATATACACAATATATAAACTTCACCATCTTAACTATTTTAGGTGTACAATTCATAATGCAATGTAACCATCATCATTATTTATTTTCAGAAAGTTTTCATCATTCCACACAGAAACTCTGTACCCACAAATAATTCCCTAGATCCCTTTCCCCCAGTTACTAATAATCTCCATCTTATTTTCTGTCTCTGTGAATTTGCCTATTGCAGATACCTGTCGGAGCCAGCAATGGGACTGTGCCTGTATGAGTTGGTATCTGGCCTTGTGAGAAACCCCCAAGGAACTGAGGCAAAGGCCTCAGGACCAGACTGTGCATCTGTGAGTTGGTATCTGGCCTTGTGAGAAAGCTCCAAGGAACTGAAACAAAGGTCTCAGGACCAGAATGTGCCTGTGTGATTTGGTATCTGGCCTTGTGAGAAAACCAAGGAACTGAGGCAAAGGCCTCAGAACTAGAATGTCCAGAAAAATAACAGTGCTCAAGGTTCCCCAGATGGCTTTGTGTCCTTCAGATGTAAATAAGGTTATGCTCATCGTGCTTTTCCTGCTTCTCTGTTCCCATTTAAAAAGAGACATAACAAAGAGTTAATTTTTAAACTGTGCTTCCCTGTACTAATGTAACCTTGACACATAATACTTGGCATGCTTTTTCTGACCAAATGTTCTCTGTGAAAAAGGAGTTTATAAAAAGCAGAAATGATCTTCATTAAAGTGGCTATTGAGCAAGACTCAGTAGTCCCCTCATCTTTTACAGCTCCAGTCACCCAGGTCCAGCACATAAACAACAACAGATACCTTCCATAAGTGGAATCATAATATGTTGGGGGGGGGTGGCTTATTTCGCTTAGCAAAATCTTTAAGCTTCATCCACATTGTATTATGCATCAAAACTGTTTTCTATTTTAGCTGTACCATTTTCCATTCCCACCATCAATACACAGTTTGCAGTGTTGCCACACCTTGCCAACATTTGATAGGTGCCAGTGCCTGTAATCCTAGACACTAAGGAGGCAGAAATCAGGAAGCTCACAGTTTGAAGCCAGACTTGGAAATAGTTTGTGAAACCCTATCTGGAAAAAAGCCATCACAAAAAGAAACTGATGGAGGTGGAATGGCTCAAGGTGTAGGCCCTGAGTTCAAGCCCCATACAGCAAGAAAAAATAATTCAAAAAACTAGTCAACCTCCTGATGGATATAAAGTAGTTACCTCATGGTAACTTTTTGTGGATTTTTGTTTTGTTTTTTGTGCTGAAGACTGAACCTAGGGCCTTGAGCATGCAAAGCAAGCACTCTGCCACTGAGCTACATCCCCAGCTCTCATTGTCATTGTGACTTACATTTTCCTAATGATTAAAGATACTGAACATTTTTTCATGCCCTTATTGGCCCATGTATATGTTCTTTCTGGAAAAATGTCTAGAACAGTCCTCTGCCCATTTTTTAATCGTGTTTTGTTACTGTTTTGAGATATAATTATTTATGCATTGTACATATTAAATTCTTTATTAGATACATAATTTACAAACATTTTCTCCCATTCTGTGGCTGATTTTTCATTCTCTAAATAGTGTCCTCTGATGTACAAAAGCTTGTTTGGCTTTTCTCTTTTTTCTGTTGTTAGGGCTGGAACCCAATACCACTGAGCTACATTCTCACCCACTAAAGGGTTTTTTCTCTAGGTACTGGGGATGGAAAATAAACACAAAAGGACTGGGTATAGCCCTTTTATTCTGAGTTCGATTTTGAGGTAGGTCTCAGTGACTTTTCCCAGGCTGACCTCGAGCTCATGATCCTCCCACCTCACTTTCTAAGCAGCTGAGATCACACATATGCATCACCATGCCTAGGGCACAAAAGCCCTAAGTTCAAATCCCAGTACCTCAAAAAAAAATCAATTGACAAACACAGGTGGAATGTGGAAAAAGAAAAAAATTCAACTGGAAAAAAAAAATCAGCTTATGGTTTATTTCTGAACTCTATACAATTTTTTGGTCTTCATGTCTATCCACAAATGCTTATGTTGTTTTTTGCTTTTCTGGTACTGGGGACTGAACCCAGGGTCTTGTACATGAAAGGCAAATGCTCTATATCCACAGCCCTCCATCACTTCCTGAATGAACTGATAAATGGGAAGAAAAGGAAAAGAATCCTAAATTTAATCTGAATTCTAACATTAATTTGTCTTTGTTTCCTTGTTCAGATTTACTTTATCTCCCTGTTTTCTCTAAAAAAAGAAATTGGACTGAAGTACTCTTATAACTCCAACAATCTAATGAGTTTATAGTCAAGCTTTTCATTCTTAGAATAGACCCACAGCATGCATTGTTAATTTGCCAAACAGTCAAGAAATACTTCTGAAATGGAAAATTCCTAAGGTAGTTCATTCAATAAATATAAGTATAAAACACATACCTTCAATATCTGAAACCATTAGCATCTGCAGTTGAGAGAGACCTTCTTGAAAACTGCAGAAATGAATTCTGTTGCCAAATGTTATAAAGCCAACTTTTGTGCTAGCATTTTCAGGACGCCTAAAAACAAATTAAGAAGAGTGTTTTGTCAAGTTTGCCCATACATACGCACATGAAATATCTGCTAAGCTTACAAGCCAACATCTAATTCATATTATGGAAAGTGGCCCAACATAAACAACTCTTTAAGCCAGCCAATGTTCCTCTACCACAAAAACATATCCTCCCCAAGGGGAAACACTGCACATGAGCCAAACAGTCACTGAAAGACAACAATTCAGAAATCCAAACTATTACTTGTATATAATATAAAGTTACATGTAATTGCTTAGGAAGTAGCATGTAAAAATACTAGAAAGTATGTACAAAAGTTTGCAGGCAATTTGAAGTGTTTTCTAAACAATGTCTAAAGAAAGCTTCAGGAGCTAGGGATGTAGTTCAGTGGAAGAGCGCTTGTCAGGCACATGCATGAAAGAAAAAGAATGCTTCCAAAACTGAGCATGTACCAGCTCTAAAATGCAATTTAAAAAAAAATTGCTCAAACCTCCAAACATCTGCCACCCTATACCCCTTCTACAGTGATCACAATTGACCCTGAGCCATCGGCTTCTCAAGAACCCAACACCGCCAGCATTGCCCTCAGCCCCTGCTACACCCTCATCTTTCTCCTCCCCACCCACATCCCATAACCGCTCCCACACTTCCTCCTAAGCACACTCAGCCCATCTATACCCACTCCAGGAGGTGGCAGAAGCTGACAGTATTATCAGAGTTCATGTGCCCTTTTCCATGACTGAGCTCTCTCAAATTGAAAGTGGACTTGGCTCCTTCTCTAATGACTCAGCCTCCTATATTAAAGAATTTAAATACCTAACCCAAGCATATGATATGACTTGGCATGAGACCCATCTTCCAAGGATGGAATAATTATTCTCAACTCTCATTTTATTTCCCAATCCTTCCGATATTCAAAGAAAACTTAAACAGGCAGGGGATGGCCCTCAAACCCCCCAGGGGAGATCTTGTGAAAATGGCATTTAAGGTATTTAATAACCAAGACAAGGCCCGATACCAGCAAAAGGCCCAGCTCTTGGCAGCTGCCCTGAGGCTACCTCCTCCAACTTCGAGATGGGCTAGACAACAACACATACCTTCAGGGCCCCGCTTCAAGTGCAACCAGACAAGACACTGGGCAAAAAACTGCCCTTCACCTTGCCCACAGGCCAGGACCCTGTCCACGATGTGGCCAGAGTAGACACTGGAAGGACAATTGCCCCTCTTTGTCTCTGCAAGGTAGGTCAGTCTCCCATTCCCACTCTCAACAGAGTGGAGGCCTCACAGACCTCTTGGGCCTGGCCTCCAACAGACTCTGCTCCTCTGGCTGACTATCTACCTTATCTTAACCTCCTCTAGGAACTTCTCAGAAAGCATGCAGACCAGATCCTGCCCACCCCTCAGAGGACCCTTTTACAACTTCTGTTAAGCCAGGGGATCTTGTTCTCCTCAAGGATCTTCGACCCTCTCCATTGGGACCTAGGTGGACCAGACCTCATCTGCTCATCCTCACAACACCCACTGCTGTCAAGTTCAACAGGATCCCCCAGTGGCAGCACCTTTCAAGTATAAAACATTGCCCACCAACTTCAGACTCTTCCACTACAGCAAAGGATGAGTATTCTTGCGTACCGCTGGGCCCCACACAGCTACGTCTCTCCTGCAAACTCTCTCCCTCTTCCACTCCTACATAAGGTCTTAGTCCTCATCTGGCTCTCGATTTTGTGCCATAGGTGAATTTAAAACACTGGTGGGGCAGTGAGCCTAATTCTGGAAGCATGCATACTACTTCCCTGCTTCCTTCCCTTGGTTATACAATCTATTGAGTCCATTATGGAGGCTACTATAGAAAGAAAACAGCTGCACATGTAATGATGCTATGGAAATACAAACCCTTAAACCAGGAAAATGCTCTTTAACCCTAGATGCCTCCAGGATCATTCAGGGAACTCAGGAGACAGACTTCCCAACAACTGGCCTTGTCTGCAAATGAAGCCTGGGAAAAACTGTCACCCTCTGCTCCTGGGGTCCTCACAAATTTCCAAATTCCAGCCAAAGCCCCCTTAACGATGCCCCCACTCAGCATGAAGCAGCAAGATCGGTCAGCACCTGTAATACCAACAAAAAGCTGGAATGTTAGGTCCCTGGCATTCTTGCAGCAGGCAGAAGGTCCCAGGGCTAACACTGAAACCAGACCCCCTGATTTTATTACTGCTTGCCAAACTCCCCTGCTTGCTTCCCTGCTCTGCTTGCAAAATCTCAGGAACTTCCAGTTACTCAACTAGCCAAGCATATCGACCTGTTCCATCTGGTGATCACAGATAATCGGAGACCAGAGACTCTCTCCCTCCCCCATGGCTTGGCCTCCTCCACTACCCATTTCAGCCAAGCCGCTGCACTCTGAACCCAAAAGAGTGACAGCCCTGCAGTCTGGTTCCTAATAAATCTTTCTTTTCCACATGTGGTGTGGTTTTTATTCAGCAGTTCCTCACACTATTGACATTGTATATTGAAATACAGTTCCACCTCCTTTGGTGAAGAAATCTTACAAAAGGGTTGATGTGGGTCCTGAATGAACAGCATCTCACTATTGTATCAGAGGTAGCCATGGGCAACTGCTGGAAAAACAGAACCAAGTTTTTCAACACAATGATCATCACTTTGAAAAGGCAAATGTTAATCTATCCCTTCTTAGTAACTATTGAAACATTTTTATTTAGGATTAAAAAAATCAATAGTAAAAAGTGTTCAAATTGCCAGGCAAAAAATTTATGTAGCTGAACTACATTGATTTCCTCCAGAATTATTCACAATAACATTTGCCTTTTAAAAAAGTATTTTCCCATTAAACACTCACATTATAAAACCCAGACAGTACACTTACAATGTGCTTGTGGGATAGATGGAAAAGGAAACAATTCTTTTTCTATGAGACAGGGTCTCCTTATGTTGCCCAGGCTGGCCTGGAAGAACTCGAGATCCTCCTGTCTCAGCCTCCCAAGGGATAGACCACATTCTAAAGCAGTGATGAATAAAAGTATTACAAAATTTTTGATATTACATTAAGAGGTCTACTTAGTTCTCACAAAAAAAAAAACTGTTACAGAGTTAAATAGTATTTAAAATTGATCATATATATTAAACTTCTCAAGTCTTCCTATCAAAAATTAATAAGGGGCTGAGGGTATAGCTTAGTGGTAGAGCACTTGCCTAACATGAACAAGACAGTGGATACAATCTCTAACACTGCCAGCACCAGAGCACAAGAAATCAATACAGGTAATAAAATCCTATCATCAAATGGAGGTTTGCTTTTCTAAACTATCAAGGATTATATAATGCTCTATTTAAATACCTCAAATATTTCCAGTCATCCACAGGGCAGTTCAAATCTCTTAGAAGTGTACTTGAAGTACTTACAATGTGGCCCTTACATAGCATTCCAACCTTGTTTCCTAACTCATCTCCTTTTTATATACACAAGCTTCATCTAGAATAATCCCTAACTACACCATGTTTCTTCAGTGAACACATAAAAATGCAGCCTCCTCAGAAATAAAAGGAAAGAACAAGAAAACAGATTCTGAGAGATGCATTTAAGTGGTTACAAGAGAATGAGAGCAAGCTCATGTATAGGATCCTGGGCTTTTCTCTTCCCCATCACTTTTTTTTTTTCAGTGCTAGGGATTGAACCTAGGGCCTTGCACTTGCTAGATAGGTGCTTACATCTGCAGCCTCCATCATTTCTTCTTCTTCTTTTCTTTCTTTTTCAGTATTTGGGAATTGAACCCTGAGCCTCACACTTTCTAGACAAGTGCACTACCACTTGAACTATGTACCCAGCCCTTTTGTTTCTGAGATAAGAGCTTGCTAACTTTTGACCAAGCTGGCCTCAAATTCAGAATCCTCCTGCCTCCACCTCCTGAGTAGATGGATTACAGGCATGTACCACCATGCCCAGCTCCCCCATCACTTCTTGAGGACTCACAATCTGAAGTTTTCCAACCAATACTCTAAGTTGCACACTCTTATTAATTAGACTGGTACAAACACTCACTCACCAAAAGCAAAGTCTCCAGGCCTTTCCTTCTCTGCCTTCCAGGGATGATCTTGCTGCAATACAGAGATCACCTTTGGTTTGATAAATGGGAGTCCTGCTCATAGACAAAATTAACACTTAAAACATTAAGAAAACCAAAAAGACTAAGAGAAGTAAGTTACAGAGATCACATGTGCCCTGCAAAGCCTAAAATTTATCACCTGGTCCTTTAAAGAAAAAGTTTGCTGACTTCTAGAAAAAGCAAGCGGGAAAGGTAAATCAAGAGACTGTATATAACCCTCTGCTGAGAGATAAACAAACCACAGAACAATTACTGCTAGGGCAGTGATGTCTGAACCATGAAGAAACTTCTAATGTGATAACATATGGAGGGATGGGGATAACTATCAATACACCTTCTCCATTTCTGTACATATGGCAATTCCATAAGCTGTATGCTTTCAACATTTAGTTACAGAGATCTGATCGGTATAATCCTAAGGCAACACTCAGCTAAACTCTTATGATGTCCCAAGATTTTCTTCAGAAAAGTAGTTGCTGAGAGCTCTCACATCTGATTTCTTTATCTATAGGGGAATTTCCTTACCCAGTGTGGCCAGGTGTCTGTAGTTCTCTAGCATACAAGCTTCTCTGAGGATTCCAGTATAAGCTTCTCTGAGAAGGATCCAGCTTTCTCCACTCATCTCAATTAAAGCATGCAGTCATGTCCTCAAATGTCACTGACATCTGTAAAGATGAGCCATTCCAGCTTACCCAGAACTAGCCCTCACATAGTGGGGGAAGGGGGACAGGCTACCATGAAATGCTGCTGATGCCATTCAAGATGCTGAAGGGTCCGGGTCATTTATTTAATGAATATTTAACTAGAGAAAAATACACAGTGAACAGCACAAAATATGAAACTGGCTGTTATAGTATAAATCTCTAAAGTCTCCCATAGTCCATGTATTAAAGGCTTGGTCACCAGCCTGTGGTACTACTGGGACCAGGTTGTAGTGGAACCTTTAGAAGGTGGGACTTAGTAGAAGGAATTTAGGAGATGTGCCCTTGAGGGAGATATTGAGACCTAGCCTCTTTCATTCCCAGTCCTTCCTTCCCAGCCACAAGGTAAGCAGTTGCATCTGCTGCACGCTATCTGCCATGATGCTCTGCCTCGCCACAGACCAAAAGGCAATATGGCCAAGCAACCCTGGACTGAAACCATAAACATTTCCTCCTAAATTGACTGTCTCAAGTATTCCGTCACAGCAATTGAAAGTTAACTAATACACTGGCCTTGTGTTAGCCTCTAAGACAGGTGTATAGAGAGGCTAAGGCAAATAGTGGGAGTGCTAATTAGAATAATCTTTCTGATGAGGATTTGATTATTCATATTCAAAGGCTTAGAAATATGTATACTCTTCAACTCACCAATTACTGTATTTGTATGCTAATCAACAGAGCATAAAATTGCATGCACAAGAATACTTATTATGGTGCTTGTAATAGTGGAAAATGGAAATTACCTAAATACCGAGGAAGACTAGGTTGAATAACTCAAGACAATGTCTGCTTCCGCAAGCTTGAGGACAGTAATAATGAACATTAAAGACCGAAATTAGTTACAAATGCTAATCTTTGGTGCATAACTTATTTAATCTTTACCACAATCCTATGAAGAAGCTGCTATTATGGTTTATAGTCCAGGAAAGAAAAAAGCTACCTAGATTAGAAGTCTGCCTAAGTCACACAGCTGGCCAGTGTTGGAAGTGGAATTCCAGTCTACCAGCCTTCTTAGGCTCCATTCTTAACCAATATGCAATTTACATATTAATTCCTACATCATAGGGTTAAGAGAAAAGATAATGTATTTATGGAGTTGAAGTTCTCTAAAGAAGCTGTATTTGTATTAAGTGACCCTATAGATAGTTTGACCTCAGTTGAGTAGAACACCACGATTGGGAGGACATGGCTATCTTAGGATCTTTACAAAAGTAGCTATTTACTTTACTTTTATATCTGACCTAACATTCTTATTCAGCCTCTTGAAATGTAGTGCGAACAGTACTCTATCTTCCACCAACCCTCAGGCTAAGAATGCTGTAATAGAACATCTGCTATCCACAGGAAAGATTTCCATCCTTTGCTGTAATGGCCTACCCACTACACAACACTGTACTGATTTATGTGACTTCCTTTGTTCTTTACTATAACAGTTCATGCAACCTCTTTCACAGCTGGAGCACATCAATAAGGGTAACTTGAATCTTGTGTTCCCAGGCCATGGCCACTCCAATTTGTCTCAGAATAAACTATTTCTAATATCCTTCTTTTTTTTTTTAGGTACTAGGTTTTGAACTCAGGATCTTCCAGTGGCTAGGCAAGTGCTCTACCACTTGGGCCATTCTCTATTCTCCTCACCCTATTTTCTTACTTTCTTTAAAGCAGAATTGTTATTTTATGCTACAGATACAATGGAGATGGACAGCAGTGGTGGTTGTTCAATAATGTTGAGGTACATGCTTAAAATGCCACTGAATTCAAAGAGGTTAAAATGGTAAATTATGTGGTATGTACATTTTACCACAACAAAAGTTTAAAGTGATAAAATACACATACATATAAATATGCATATAAATAAATATACACAGAAAATGATTCTGATAGATACACACCAAAGGACTGCCAGAGATCATCTCCAGATGTTGTAGCAAGAGTAACTGCACCTTTTTTTTTTTTACATATGTTGCATTAGGATTTGTTCTTCATGTCATTTCATAGCACAGCTCCTAAAATGCTTGGCATCTTCAGAGTGATGTCTTTTTCTATGCTAATGAGTTGACCATGCAGGGGCTCCTGGACCGACTCCAGATATGATTTACTCAGTGATGCCTCTGTAATAAAGCCACCATAAAATCCAGAAAAACAAGATTCAGAGTCTTGACAGCTGAACCCGGGGAGGTTCCTGGAGATTCACATCAAACAGCCAGAAAGAGCTTGGAAGCTCTGCTACTCTTGCCCCATACCTCACTCTAAGCATCTTTTCATCTGTGTCCTTTGTAATATCTTTTATATTAAGCCAGGAAATGTGTTTCCCTGAGCTGGAATGAGTTCTATAAGCTGCTCTCAGAGGTGGCAAACTTACAGCGTTAGTCAGTTCTGGCAGCCCAGACTTGCAACTGGTATCTGAAGTGAGGACAGTCTTGTAGAACTGTGTCCTCGACCTCTAGGATCTGACATTGACTCTGGTAGATAGTATCTACCTGAAGTGAACTGAATTCAGTTACAGGATACCAAGAGGAAGTAACTTCTGCAGCACTGCTTGATTAGTGAAGAAAATTACCCACCCCTGATACCAAAAGAGTGATCTGTGCTCTCAAAGAATTTACAACCCAATTGACAAGTAAAATGCATGAAATAATTTGAACAACGACAGATAGCTATGTAGGGGCTAGGGATGTAGCTCAGTGGTAGAGCACATGCCTGGCATATGAGAGACCCTGAGCTCAAGTTGTAGCTGGACAGGTACGACCATAAACCATCAATCCTCATTTTAGAGCCAAGGAACAAGAACAAGGGCAGCCAAGAACTCAGCTCACACACTTCACACAGCAGCTGCAGGACGGTAACTGAAGTTTTCCAACCTTGACCCCAGCATTGTCTCTGTTCTCTCTCTGATCTTAAATTTCCCATCACTGAATTTTTTACTCCAGGTTACATGATACTGACACATGGACAACAGGCACAGATAGGGAGATGAAGGGTCTGGGCAAGAAAGCAACTTGGCTTTGTTAAATGGAATGGGAAAGCTTTAAAGCAAATACAGTAGCCTAAACATACAATGGTAGGTCCTGGTTATATCCTCAGAGAATCAAACCTCACCACACTTATAGGTCCAAAGATAATACCACTTTGTTAACATGCCTTGGGAACATGTGCCTGGGTCTGTCCATGCTCTGAAAGATGTACCAAAGGAGTGGCTAAATAGTCTAAGCATGGATTGAAAGCCAAATGCACCTGAGTATGAACTTGGAATACTTGACTTCTTGGAGCCTTGGTCTCCTTATATGTATGTAAAACAAGGATGTGTTAGTCAACTTTTAATTCCTCTAACAAATACCTGAAATAATCAGCTTATGAAGAGCAAAGGTTTATTTTGGTTCATACTTTTGGAGATTTCCACCCATGATTGGTTGGCCCTGCTGCTTTGGAGCCTATGTTGAAGCAGCACATCACAGTGGGAGTGTGAAGCAAAGGAAGCATATTTACCTCAAGGCTGTGAAGCTAAAGAGAAGAGGACAAGGCCAATATCCTCTTCAGGGACAACTGCCATGCTGTTGTGAGAATGAGAAATAACAAATACAAAGTCCTCAATGCATTCTGTAGCATGCTAGAGACTCAATAAACATTCAGACGAAGATGAGTAGAGAAAGGACAAGTATTTTCTGGGTCCCAGGAACACTGTACAGTAGTTTCTATGAGGTTTGTTTTTTGGGGGTGTTTTTGTTTTTGGTGGTGGTGGTGGTGGTGGTGGTTGGTTTTTGTTTTGCTTTGTTTTTTGCCATGCTGGGGCTCAAACCCAGGGTCTTCCACATACTAGGGAAGCACTCTACCATTGAACCACAACTCCAGCCCTTAGGAATTTCTATAAAATAAGTATTATTATTAATACACTATCATTCAGCTACCACAATAACCACATATCAAATGGTTATGTGCTGGCCGTGGGCTAAACATTTTCCATGCACTAACTCACGTCATCCTGTCATCTACCCTAAAAGGTAGGCATTGATTTTATAGGTGAGGAAATTGATAAACGAAGAAGTGGAGTTATTTGCCCAAAGACCATGAACAGCAACAGAGGAAAGGGATTAAAACCATCTCTCTAGTTTGAGAGCCTCACTTCCTAACCACAACGTGCACTGCTTCTCTACCACTGACAGCTCATGAAATCCTCCTGTGGCTTCCTGAGGAGCCTTCTTTGCTCCTTGAGTAAGGGACCTCTCCTATTGGGTCCCCTGCTGTCCTATATCCACTCATCCTCTCACCTGGATGGAGGGTCTCCACAATCTCCTAACATTACAATGAAAACGGCAGGTTTCACAAGAGTGGTAGAGGCAAATCATATGATCCATAAAGTAAAGTGGGAGAAAAACTAAACACTAGGGTCTGAAGAAACCTCGGAGAGGCATCATGAGGATTCTCAGGAGTGAAGAGAAAAAGAAAAGCAGTCTTGCCAGGGGCAGGGAGGGAGACAAATGAGTAAAGATGGCAGGGCCAGATCTTCCCAAGAGTGCGTGTTTGCCTATCCATAGTGATAAAAAGACACCTGGCATCTTACTTGTCAATTAGTAATGACACAGCAGATTAAGGCTTGTGAGCAAAAGTGAACACTAGACATACGTGCGGAGAGTATTCTGCAGGAATAATACAGAGGGTGGCCTAACTCTTCCTACATAAAACGAAGGCTCCAAATCCTGGTAAAGGTTGGATTGGGTAGAGAACTTCAGTTACAGCAGGAAAAACTCCATCTCTATCCACTAAGCACTGAGATAGCAATGAGCTCACCTGAGACTGTGCTTCTCTTTGCTCAGGACCCATGTCCTCTATCTGAGCTCTACCCCCAAGGATGGCTGCAGTCTCTCTCCAGAGGCTGGATCTGAGGGAAGAAAAAGGGACCATAAAGAATCCAGTTCCACTTTCAACCACGGAGAATCAAGAGCTGTGAAATCCTTTCACCTTGAGCATGATGCCAGGGGCCTTCAGAGAGGGGAGTCAGAGGAGGTGGGAGTGGACAGGACCAGGGAAGGGCTGGACCCATGTGGCCCAGGCCCCCCACTCTTCTTGACTCAGAGAATCTACAAGAGCAAGACTCAGAGGAGATTCTGGACTCCATCACTGAGCCTCACCCTGTGCCAGGCACCCCTTACGCTGCTTGGCGCCCACACTTCATAGGTCAGAAAACTGAGGGCAGAGTGAGGCCACTTGTCCCACTGGCTCAACTTGTGAGATGTCACAGGACTCCAAGCCCGACCCTGAGCAGCCGCTCTAGTTTCATTGTCTTCCCTGCGACAATTTCCCTCAGCCTCAGGTTCTGCCCACTGAATTTCTCTGCCTCCTGCAAAGGAATCAATTTCCAAGGTTTTGTTGAAAACCGTCCCGGAAAACACAAACGGTGGCTTCCCCACGGCGCAAAATCAGAAGCCCTGGTTCTGCTCCTGGCTCTGGCGCGGGGTGCCGAGCGCCTCGCTCCACGGGGAGGATCGCGTTTCCCACGCGTTACCGCGGCGGCGGAAGCTCCAAGCCGGCAGGGCGGGCAGGGAGCTCGGCCAGCGGGAAGCTGGGGTGAACCAAGACCGCGGGCCTACCGCACGTCCAGGCGGTGGCGCACACGGCGGGGAGCCGAAGAGCAGCAAAGAGCCCCCGGTGCTGCCGCGCCCACAACGCTCTCAGCGTGCCTCAGGCCGGGTCCCCGCCTCCCGCAATCCCCGCCCCTCCGCCGCTCACCACCCTGGGCTTCGCGGTCCCCTGGGCGTGGCCTAGGCCTCCGCTCTTGCAAACACAAGGCTCCGGAACTAGGCCTCCAGACAGCCGCCTACCTTCGGTACTCAGCCCGCGCGACCTCAGGAACCAGACCCGCGTGCGATGCCAGAGACTTGGCGGCCAAGATGCACACGATGGGCGGGGCTGGAGCCAGGGGTCGCGCGGCCACTAGGTCTCCTGGGAAATATAGTCCACGTTAGGACCAAAGCTTTCTGGGACGTGTAGTTTTCCGCATTTGTTTGGCGGGGCAGGCAAATCACATACTCAGGCCTCAGCGAGGCTCCCAGAAAGCTCCTGAGCTGCAGAATCCTGTCCTTCCTCACCTCTAGAGCCCTGGGCTCCAGTCAGTGAAGGTAGGTTCGCCCAGGCCAGTGTCATCGCTGTGCATTCGTGTGACTGATGGTGAGGCCAGCAGATAGTGGCCAGAGCAGACCCATGTCTCCTGCAGTTATTAGCAAAAGGATATTGAGCACCTACTGGGTGCAAGTACTATGGAAATCCTTTTGCAATATGTTAATAGACAAAACAAAAACTATTACTGTAGATGGAGTATGTTTTAAAAGGCAGGGAGAAAACAAGAAGTCACAAACATAATTACACAGCACTTTAAAGGAGGAAAGCAACGGAAGAGCAGGGTTGAGGTATCTGGGGAGGGTTTGGGAGTTTGAACAGGATGGCTTGCACACATGAGAAGAAGCAAAGATTCCCGAGCAGCACTGGAAGTAGGGACCTGTGGAGGCACGTTCCAGGTACTAGGAACCAACAGACAATTTGTTCTCAAGTAAAGATTTTCAGTTACAAGAAAAACACAGGGTTGGCAAACACCAAAATGTAAAGAAAAATGCCCTTGGTGCCTGCCATTAAGCAGAAAATTAATGACACATTTTGATTAACTGCTTGTAACAGCCCTTTGGGTTCTACATTAATCTCAGTCAGTCACTGTGGCTCTCATTTTAACGTAATAGAATTTTGCAGATAGCCATCTGTCACCTACCACGTGAAAAAATTTGGACATTTGAATTTTGCAAGTAATATTCTCTCGGTAGTATTTCTAATAGCTTCAGTGTCTTCACTGCATTTAATTTCTAAAAGCATTTAACTAAAACTTATTTAATTCAATATATTTAACTAAACACCTATTGCTAGTTATTTATATTGAGGTTCTTTTTTGCACCATTAATATCCATGCAGCTATATCTTTGAAGATTATTTTCTTAAGCTCCTTGAACTCGAATTGCTAGAATGAGTTGTGGTAGAACTCTAACACATTTCAGTACAATGCCTGATTTTCTTCTGGAAGGTGTTAAAATTTATAGTTCCATGAGCAATTGCTGACACTATGTGCCTCGTATTGCTGCCCAGTCTGGATTTTCTTTTAATGCTTTTATTTAATGGAACAAATAGTTAACTTGTTGGAATATGTAATTTAAGAACTTATGAAATTAAATCTAATAAAAATGGTATCTTGTTTTTGTATACAATTTTAATTACTTGAAAAATTAAATGTGTTACATATTTGCTCTTTATTTACTTTCTGATGTTTAATTGCCTTGAAGGTACCATGTTAGCTTTCCATTACTGAAATAATTACCTTAGAGATAATTATAAGAGAAAAGATTTTGATTTAGGCCTCCCAGTTTTAGAAGTTTCAGTCTGTGGTCAACTGTGCCCCATTGCTTTTGGGCCTGTACCCAGGCAGCACAACATAGTAGGGAGCTTGTGGTAGAAGAATCTGCTCAAGTCATGGCTGGGATACAAGAAAAAGAGAGAAAGAGAAAGAGACCAGTACATGCCCCCAATGATGGGAAGACCTCCCACTAAGCTCCATCCTTTTTTTTATTTCCTTTATTGATATGTGCATACAATGATTGGGTCATTACTCCCCCCTTCCCCCATCTCCTCCCTTTCCCCCCACCCCTTCGCTTCCAAGCAGATACTGTTTTACCCTTATCTGTAATTTTTTTGAAGAGGGAGTATGAATATTAATAAGGAGGACCAGGGGTTTTTGCTAGTTGAGGTAAGGATAGCCATATAGGGAGATTCCTAGTTTTGCTTCCATGTACATATGTGTTACTTTCTAAACCGATTCTTCTCAAACTAACCTTTTCTCTAGTTCCTAGTCCCCTTCTCCTATTAGCCTCTGTTGCTTTAAAGTTTCTGTATTAGTTCCTATGCACTGAAGACATCAAATGCTATCTTTTTTTGGGGGGGGGGTGTTACCTACCTATCCTCATACCTCCCTTGTGTGCACTCGCCTTATCATGTAATCAAAGTCCTATCCCCTTATTGTGTTTGCCCTTAAAGCCCACATATGAAGGAGAACATATGATTTTTGATCTTCTGAGCCTGGCTAACCTCACTCAGGATGATGTTCTCCAGTTCCATCCATTTTAAGCTCCATGCTTTAAAATTGCCACCATTTTCCAATTATGCCTGAACCTGGGGACCAGGTCTCTAACACAGGAGCCTTTGGAAGACATTCCAGATCCAAACTTGTTATGGTTTGGATGTGAAGTGTCCCTCTCCAAAAGACTCATGTATTGAAGGCTTGGTTTCTGGCTGTTGGGGATATTTTGGGAGGTGGTAGAAACTTTAGGAAGTAGGCCTCACTATAGAAATATGTCATTGTGGCTGTACCTTGTCCTGGAACCCTCTCTGTCTCTGCTTTATGTCTGAGATGAACAGCCTCTGCCACATGCTCTGCCTCACCACAGGCCCAGAATTAATGGAGCCAAGAACTATGCACTAAAATCTCTGACACCATGAGCCAGAAGAAATCCTTCCCTTTAGTTATGCCAAGTATTTTATCACACTGTTGAAAATTCTCCCTAACACAAAACTATAGCAGGTACCCTGGCCACTTCCTATTGAAGTGTTCAAATTTGAATTTTCATCTTGAAATACCATGTATGCATAATTTTAAAAGGAATAATCCTTTATTGTTCACTCTGAAAATCATCCATTCATTATTTTTTAAAACCCTTCCCAGTGTGTACAATGAAGAAACATATAATATGGAAATAAATCCAGCATTGATTCATAAATACTCATTTTCCATACTATTTAAAATGTTAAATATATGCAGAAAGTCAATTAGAACACTCATGATTATAAAGAGAAGACCCCTCTGGACATGCACCCAAGTTGAGAAGTAGACATTTACTAACACTCAGTACTTCCTTCTAATTTTTTAGTTTTTTTGACAGTACTGGGATTTGAACTCAGGGCTTTACACTCGCTAGGCAACCACTATACCACTTGAACCACACCTCCACTCAGTACCTCCTTCTAAGCACAGCTGCTGTCATGACTTTTGAGACAGTCTTATCTTTGCTTTTTCAGTTTTCAACCCATTTATACATCCTTACACAAGAGATTCACCTGTGACTAACTTTATATAATAAAACCATACATCTGTATTTTTGCATCTTGTTCTCCATTTTGTTAGATTCATCCTTCTTATTGCAGATCATTTTGTCTGCCATGCACATTTTGTGTTGTTTTCAGGTTTTAGCTATTCAGGACTGTGCTTAGCAGCAATAAAACATGTCAGTGATAGAATCTAGGAGGTGGAATACAGTTTCTGTAAAATTCTATTAACTTTTCTCTGTGTTTGAAATTTTAAAATATCCTGGATGTACTTGTGTTTACAGTGAAGGATTGTATTATATATAAATGGTCCATAGGCTCTAAAACCACATATCTCAGAAATTTGGTGGTGATGATCATCTTTTAACAATCTCACCTTATCCAATTCTGCTGTCAAATATTGTACTGCTTCTGAGGGAGAGTACACAGTGGTAACAAAGAGAAGCGGATTCTGAAAAAATATTGAATTGCTAAAAATATTGAATGTTTATGTTGCACACACACACGAACACACTTTTTGTACTTTTCAGCAAGAGGTGGGGTAAAAATTATTTTAAAATGGATGTCAACCAGTCAAGAGTCAACCACAATGGGCTTACTTACTGATGAGTTCTGTCTTCAGTTCTGTTCCATATTCAGCCACAGAAGCAAGCATTAATTGATAAGAACAGTCACAGCAATACATTAATGTTTTCATTGTTTTATTTCCCTCTAATACTATTTAATATATGATAAATGAAGATAACTGTACACATTAAAAAATGTTTAGAAGTGTGTCTGACTCCAGATAAGACACAGAACATTCTCAGAAAGACATCCCAGAAAGTTCCTTGAGCTAACTTCCCAGATGGATCATGAATGTTCCCCAAAGATCCATGTACAAAGAGCTTTTTTTTTCTTTTTCTTTCTTTTATTCTTTTTTTTGTGTGTGGTACTGTAGTTTGAATCCAGACCTTTATGTTTTCTAGCCATGCGCTCTGTGGATTGAGCCACACTTCCAGCCTGGCAGCGGACCCTTCAGAAAGTGGAATTTAACTAAACCTGAGCAGCAGTCATACTCAGCCCTTCTGGCCTTCTTTCTCCCCTGCCTCTCCCTCCCCACAGCAGCCACTCAGCCATAGAATGACCATGGCTCTGCCTCCCAAGAGCACCTGGAATTTTACAATGTAGCCTGGAGAAAACCAGGCCAACCGTGTCCTGTAAGGGCTCATGTCATGATGAGGGCACTCTGAGGAGGTGAGGGTGGTACTGGACAGTCCTCAAATATGCTGGGAAGATCTCTGCCACTAAAGTCTTATTTCCCATGGACACCTAGACAGGAAAAATGGCACAGGTATGAGGGTCCTGGTGGACCATCAGCCCAATACCTGGGCTCTCGGTCTCTCCAGCTGTCCCACCCTGCTCAGTGTGCAGTCCCTCTGACCTTCTCACCTTTTGACAGGCCTCAGGGTCTTTTCACACACAGTCGACAATACTATTCTCACATACTCTTCACACCAGTGTTCACACACTATTTACACACTACTCTACCATTCACTGTACTATTCACACCACCTTTTACACTACCATGAGGACTATAATTGGTATAGTTTGGATCCTGAACGTCCCTCAGAGGCCCACATGTAGAAGGCTTGGTCCTCAGCTCATGGCACTATTAGGAGGTGGTGGAAACTTTAGGAGGTAGAGTTTAGTAGAAGGAAGTTAGGTCCTTGGGACATGCCCTTGAAGGGGAGACTGGACCCAAGACTCTTTCT